CTTGAACCTCCCTGAGGCTGTGTCAGGGGGAGATGTGTGTTTTGGCAAGAGAGTAAGATCCTGGTCAACAAAGGGCCCTGGCTCAGCCTGATCCCCTTCTTAGTGCTGTGCTTAAGATCACATGTCATGTGAAGACCCAGGAAGTGATGAGCAGGGAGAGGGCCAGGTCCCTCCATCAGGCCTACAGAGTGAGGTCTCTGTCACCCTCTCACACCAGGGAACTTGATGTCTATTAAAAGCCTCCCTAGTAGTCAATGTCTAGGGTAGACCAGACCGCTGACTTCTTGGGGACCCTGCTCTGACTGTTTCCGTCACTGCCCCCATCTTTCACTTGTTGCAAGGCTCCATTGAAGCAGGCTCTAACCCTGAAGTCCTCCTGCTGTCAGAGTCATCTTCAAGTCCATCTTTTCATTGTTTCTTTGATGTTTTGTTTTGTTATAGGGTGTTTCTACACAAGCCTGATTATCCTGTATTCACTATCTAGACCAGGCTGGCCTCAAACTCACAGAGACTCACAAGACTCCTGATGCCAGCACTGGCCATTCTGAATATCCCATAGATTTCTTTTTTGTTTTTTTAGATTTATTCATTTATTATGTATACAACATTCTCCCTCCATGTTTGCCCACACACCAGAAGAGGGCACCAGATCTCATTACAGATAGTTGTGAGCCACCATGGGGTTGCTGGGAATTGAACACAGGACCTCTGGAAGAGCAGCCAGTGCTCTTAACCACTGAGCCATCTATCCAGCCCTTCTGTAGATTTCTTAGGAAAACTAGAAGGCAATCTCAGCTGGTTGCCACAGAATCTGTAGACACAGCTTCAATCTGGCTGGTTCAGAATGTCTAGCAGATTTTCACTGTCACAGAATTCTAGATGACCCATCAACCACTTCTACCTAGGTCAGACAGGAAACGCCCTGTCTCTCAATGGCCCAGTAGAAGGGACTGCTAAGAGGCAGGCTGTGGTAGGCTCCAGTGCCCCTCTGGCCTATGGAGGGGGGCAGCTCAGACCCATGCCCTGTCCTGGGAGACATGCTCGCACTCTCTCCCCGGGACTGACATTGTAGGCCTCATGAGAGGATTCTGCCTTTTGCCTGCCCTACTTTCAGGAGTGTGGGCTGAACAGACAGTGAAAGCAATGGAGAAGGAGGCAGGAGGCAGAGGAGCAAAGTCTGAGGCAGGAAAATGACAGTTGAGTGGTCATGAGGCAAGCAGCTTGATGTGTGCAGGCTGAAGCATTGGACAGGGACAGGGCAGGAAAGGAAAGGTCACAGCAAGAGTGCAGGGAGCAGAGTCTGAGGAAGGATCAAAGGGGACAGACCCACAGGACAGAAACTTCAGGACCTGTTTGACAAAGAGGTCCAGGGAGCTGTGGTGTCTTTAGACACAAGAGCCTCACAAGGGCAAAGACCACAGCACTGCTGAGTGCCTAGAAGGACTCACTTCCTATCCATGAAGCTCTGTGTCCCATGCTGGTGTGAGGCCTGTTTACTAGAGGGTTCCTCCTGCTGCTGCTCCCACCTGCCAGCTGCTTCTGCTTCCTCCTGGGACACATGGAGGGCAATGAAAGCTGCCCAATGCAACAGCTGGAGAGTGCCCCTTCCTGCACCCATTTCTACCTTTGTTAGCAGAGGGATCCCAGACAGCTAACTGGGGACACATCTGCCTCAGCTTCCCACAAGCAGGGATTCCATGTGGAAAGGCCTACTTCGTCCCCTCATTTCTCTGGACTCTGCCAGTCCCCTGACCACTCTGTGCCCGGAAACTGGAACTCATCATTACCCTGGCCTGTTTGTCATCCGGAGCATCTCTGTACCAGGTACGGCACCATGTCCCCATAAGCATGACCCCAGGGGGAGCCCGGGCCTCCAAATGCTCTGCCCTCATGTCTGATGTGCTCACCCTTCACCTGGCTGGATATTTTGATGCTTAATCCCCCAATTCCCCAGACTGCATCCAAAAACCACCAAATCAGAGAGACATCCTGCTATGGCGTCCACATGGACAGTCCACACCAAACACCACCTTGCGCCCTGGTCCCAGAGTGGCAGGTGAGAGGCAGTGCATGGTGTGTGGCTGTAAAGCATGTGCAGCCTCTGCTCTCCTACTGTCTTCTGCCAGCCCCACCTCCCTCACCCCTCGCTGCCCTTCTGCTCTGCACCAGGAGCTCAGACAGGGCAAGGCACTGGGTAGATGTGGCTGCTCTGTCTTGGACTTTCAAGACTCCAGACCATGAGCCAAGTTAACTTCTTTCCCATATACCTATCCTGGGTGTTTTGTCATAGCAATGGAACATGGCTTATACACCTCAGTGCACCTGGACCCCTCTTATCTAAAAGCACACCAAGCCTCCACCAGAGCACTGGGCTCTAAACCCTGCCATCACTTCCCTAAGTCCCCTTGCATTGTCTGATTTTGGTGTCCCTTAGATGTCTAAGGGCTCAGGAGAGCAATGCATGTGCTGCTCTATCCCAGGGACAGCACATGGGAGGTCTCCACAGAAGCTGGGTAGATGGGTCGAAGGGCTAGTTCACTTCTCTCAAGTCTGTAAATAAGACCTTTCTTTTTTTAATTTATTTATTTATTATATACAATATTCTGGTGCCGGAAGAGGGCACCAGACCTCTTTACAGATGGTTGTGAGCCACCATGTGGTTGCTGGGAATTGAACTCAGGACCTTTGGAAGAGCAGGCAATGCTCTTAACCACTGAGCCATCTCTCCAGCCCCAAGACCTTTCTTAAAAGTTTAAACAAACACTATCTTCCCACATAGCCCAGGCTGACCTCAAACTGTGAATCCCCTGGCCCCACTTCCCTGTTCACATCATGTAAATGCTTATGAAATTTGGCTGGTATTAACTTTTGAAAATAAAGTGTCTAAGTGTCTCTTAAATCAGAACTAAGTAGTTTGTTGTCAAAGGCTCTTGGCTGTCACTTTGTCTCCATCAACGGTGACAGATGAAGTTCGCAAAAGACTCAGAGAGCCATGAGTCTTCTGACTTACTGGTTAGCCAAGCAAAACAGGATTTGCATGTGGTAACCATTTTAGAAAAGTGGACTTATGATCTGTCCACTCTGTCCTGTGGTCCTTGCAGGTCCTGAGTGCTGCTGAGGCCTTCTCACTCTTGGAAGTATTAGGAATGGAGACGAGGGCGGACTGTGGCTAAGATGTGTCTGCTGCTGGCTGACACCTGTAGCCCTCTGCTACCTGTCAGAGCTGGCATCAGGCTTTTTGTAGATGTCACAGAGGTTAAGACCCTTGACCCCACATGTCAGAGGACACAGACATGTACACATTTCCCCAGTGATTGCAACTGCTTACTCGAACCATTAGTATTTTTTTTACAAGATGTCTCTACTGTTTTCCTATCTCCTCATGTTCCTATTTGTGTGCATGTGTGTGTGTGTGTGTGTTTGTGTTTATGTATGTGTGTGTATGTTAGAGTACAATTGCATGAGTTAGTTCTCTTCTCCAACCATGTGGGTTCTGGGATTTGAACCCAGGTCAGCAGGCTTAGCAGCAAGCACCTTTAATCACTGAGCTATCTCAACTGCCTCCCACCCTACTGTGTTAGATGAGGTCTGTTATTGAACCTGGAGCTCCCATGGCATTGGTGGAGCCACCACACTCAGCTCTTTACAGCGTCCTGGGGATCTGAACTCACATCCTTAGGCTTGCATAATGAGCACTTGCCCACTGAGCCATCTCCTTAGTCACTCCATTTTTGTGTGGGAGGCAGTGGATTAACTTTAGGGCTTTGCACATGCTAAGAAACACTCTACTACTGTGTTAGTGAGCTAGTGACAAAACCAGGATAAGAAGCAGCTTTCTGCTTACAGTTTGCAGGGAAACCGTCCATGAAGTTGGGGCAGGCATGGTGCAGGAAATGGACATGCCTTATCACATCTACAGTCAGGAAGTAGAGAGACGTGAATGCCCCGCTCGCTTTCTCCTTTCCACTCAGTCTTTTATTCAAGTCCACGCTGCCCACATAAAGTCATATATCAGTTAACTTAGCCTAAACACTACCAAACAGAGAGCTTTGTTTCCATGGTGATTGTGAGTCCAGTCAGGATGACCATCAGGATTACCCCTCACACACAGTAAGCTTACTGCCTCAGGAAATGATTAACACGAACCCAGCCAACAACGTCATTTGTGCCATAAACGTCATTCTGAGGGTAGTAGGTTGAACTGAACTTGAGAGAGTCCACACACACAGCACTGCCTGGGGACAGTGGAGCACTCTAGTTTATACACGGCCAGTCCACAGTGGCCTGTGGGGCTGTGGACAATGGAGAGTTCATGGTACATGGATGAATCCCTCCCTCTACTGCGAGCTGCTGTAACCGCATTGACTCTACTGATTAGACCTCTTTGAGGCCTGCTTACTGGTAGATGTGAGACAGACATGAACAGGATGACAGGGATGAGCTCCTAGGGAAGGGAGGGGAAATTTGCAGCATGATGCAGTTGGTAGAACAAAATCCTCAAGCCTCTGAGGATCCACACATGACCAGGCAGATACAGTGTTCTGGGCAGTTGGCTGCCTACAGGAATAGAAACCTTCCTTGACCCCTGTGGTTTCTACCTCCGAGCTTGAGGAGGACATGCTTGGAGCCAGGAGAGGAAGCCCAGGTGACAACAGAGCCAGGACAATAGAGCATTTGGCTCAGCTCATAGCTGCTTACAAAGGTCAACTCTAACCACCTTCTGGCAAAGGTACAGCCACTCTGTACAGAAAGTGATCACACAGGATGTCTCCAGCCATTGGTTCTTCAGAGTGGGAGGGGCTGCTAAGCTCACTCCCCCATGCAAGTGGGAAGGGGATCCATAGGTGCCAGGTTCTTGCCCAAAGGCATTTGGAACTCCTGGAAAGCATGGTAAGGGTTGGGGTGGGGAAGGGAAGAGCAGGACTGGGCTCAGGGACACAGCAGTTTATAATGTAAGCAGGATATGCTCTGAGAAGAGCATTTAGCACTCACTCTACACCATGAAGGGGACGCTGCTTCTGCTGGCCTTGCTGGTGACCGGGGAGCTGGGCTTCCAGACAAGTGAGAACGGGAACAGATGGCCTTTCTGACCCTTGGTCACTCCATCTCCTTCCTTATGGATCTGTTTACAGATCTAGGGGTCCCCGGGAGGTCACTAGCCAGGAGTTTTTCTGAAGACCCTTGAAATATTCTCTTCAGGATTGTGACAGTTGGGATGGGCTGGATAGGGAGACGGCGGTGAGGTGGTGGTGATAAACCCTTAGTTGCATGTACAGCTGCAACTGGGTCATGTGTGGGATTTATTAGCAGGCCGGGATGTTCATACATGCCCTTTCTGCTGGTAGAGTGTGTCTATGGAAACTGTGTGCTGTATCTGGAAGACAGCAGCCTTTGGGAGGGCAGGACTGTGTGGAAGGCCAGTTAGGAAATTTGTAGAAGTGGCAAGAAACCCTGAGCCTCCAATTCTGCCAGCCTAACTTCTGTTAATGGTGTCCTTCTGTTTGTAGCGGAAGCATGCATCCCTTTATTTGAAGTCTTAACTCCAATGGCCTTTGGAAACAAGGAAATAATGAATGCCGTCCTTACCACGTTTGATGCTACTGACGGGGAGAGGAAGGGTTTTGAAAAGATCCAGGAATGCTACAATGAGGGAGGATTGAAAACCAAATTCCTGGATTCCACAGTTCTGGTAACTTCTTCCTTACCCTGATGCCCACATGCACCATATGGTGGAATTCTGTAAACAAATGATCCAAGCAGCCAGTCACGTGTGTCAGGGAATGGACACCAGAGCAAGGAAACATTGCCCACCCTAGCACATGTGCATGCAGCATGCTGGTCCACATCCAGTCTGTCTATGCAAGGTCCTGCAGAGCGCTCCCCCACAATGGGTGACTACCGGGTTCTCACCACAGCAGGGCAGGCAGGGGCACAGGAGAGTCCTTGGTTGGCTTCTGCACAGGGAGGACACCCTCAGCTCCACTTTCCTCTAAGGTTCCTGACCTCCTGCCAGGATCACCTTCTCTGGAGCTTCCCTTAACTCTTCTCTCCTGTCTCAGATGGAGCCCTCCTTCCACCGGCTTCCTCAGAGCCACAGCCAGAACCTCCCTCCATGGCTTAGATGCCACACCCACCACCTCAGAGAGTGCCTGCAGCTCCTCACCCCAGATGCTCCTGGTCTCTCTTAGTGTCTTATTTAAGCACAACTGGATTACAGAGATGCATGTTTAGAATATTGCATCCCTCACTCTCTGTTTCCAAAGTACTTTTAGTTTGGGTGTCAGGTCCTGCAAAACCACTGCACTCTCCAAGAAGGAATTTCTTTCAGCACATCCACACAGGGATGAATTACTAACTCGGCCATACAGCCAATGTGCTGACAGATGTACTGAGCTATGAGACATCATGAAAGCTGGAACTCAGCCATCTTGTCCCCTCTCCAGACCTAGCCCCCATCATGCCTTAGGGAACTTCTCTCTCCTCATCCCCGCCTGGCTAGGGTTGCTTTTCAAGACTCCTCCTGTCAGCTGTGGATGAGTTGGAGCTCCCTGGGACAGAGTCTGCTGCTGGAGCCCTGAATCGCTGCAGGAAATTTTCTCCCTGTGCAGAAGGAGGGGACTAGGGAGCCCTGCTGTGGTTCTGCTCCTTGACTTAACCACTTATGCCCCTTTCTGTCTTTTTGTTTTCCAGCAAACCATTACCCTCAGCCCACAATGCAGGAAATACTATACCATAGATACCATAGAAAAAATTAAGGCACTCCTTTCCAAATTTAACATCCCGGGAAAATGATGGCTGATCTGAGAGCCACCTTGCCGCCCTGTCCACTTTTCGTCCTGAAGCTGGAGTCCAAACACCTGACTGAAACTCCTTGTTCTGTCTTAATCTGATTCTAATAAACACCTGCAGCTCAGCTCTGGGTCCCATGTCTGTGTGTTGTGCAGGAGTCATGTGACATCTTCAGATACTGGAGTCAGCGAGAGAAATGACTTTTGTGGGCGCTCAGAGCAGAGCGACCACCTATGACTAGGCCAGTTGATCATGTGAAAGTCATTGCAGTCTTTTTGTTGCTATGTAGACCTGGGGTGGGGGCTTGAACTCAGAGATCCACCCAACCCTGCCTCCTAAGTGCTGGGATGAAAGGCATTTGCTCCCAGCATGTCAGGTTGACTGCAGCTTTGTGAGCTGGTAAGACAGAAGTTGTCTGAGGGTAGAGATAATGGGAGCAGCCACAGGCGTCACCAGGCTGCCAGGCTAGAAATGGGGTGCAGAGCAATCTCCTCAGATGTTGCATCTGGATTCATCACAGGTCAGCTGGTTCCTTATAGGTCAGTCAGTCCACCAGTGCTGTGACTCAGATGACTTGGGTGTGCTCATCAGACTCTTGGTCTGCAAGAAAGGTCACCATTTGTCATAGCCTGGTCTACATAGCAAGTTCCAGGACAGCCAGTGCTACATAGAGAGACCCTGCCTCAAAAACAAAAGTTAATAATAAACCAAAAACTCGAACGGGAAAAATGATTATTTCAGTAGAAGCTCAACTAAAGAGAAGAGAAATGTCTGAGAAGCAGGTTCAATGGGTAAAGTGCTTCTGTGCCATTAGTTCAAATAACCCAGCTAAGGCCAGACTTGGAAGCTTACGTCCATAATTCCAGTGCTCTTGTTGAGAGATGAGAGGAGATACGTGAATGCCCAGAAGCCACAGAGACCTGTTTTAGACAAGGTATGTGAGGAGTGACACCCGAGATTGTCCTTTGACCCCATATGCACACTGTGGCAGGTGCATGTATGTTCTCTCTCATACACGCACACACAAAACATCCAGACAACAAAAAGGAGAGGAATGGCAACACACACAAACAAAAAACATGACCATTAGTGATTAGGGAGATACAAAATGATAGCACAGCTAATGAGAGTGCAGTTATTGAGAAGAGCAACTGAGCAGAGCAATGTTGGTGAGCATGTGAGGGACTGAGTCACATGGACAGGACACAGATTGTCAGTGTGTAAGATAAACATGCACGTAACCTTTGACCAGAGGGCCGTGTGCATCGATTTCCGTACGTGACTGCTAGCATACAGGTAGATGCGGACGTGACTTGAGCCCATTCACCTGGTTGCCTAGGAGACAGCCTAATGTGTTTTCCCGCTCAATTGATGTGATGATATATAAGGTGTTGGGAGAATAAAGGAGCGATCTTGTCCTTCCATGGTGACCGTCTAAGCTGCGTCTGATTTATTCCTCACAACTCCATTCCAGTCTAGTTAGGGAATCTGTGTTGGACCCACACGGCCTCCAACATAATGGCGCCAGCAACGTGGTGCTGACTACTGAACCCCGAGATTAAGGACAAAGTGGTGCTGACCACTGAACCCTGAGACGAGTGCCGGAGGAAGAAGAGGTATGAAAAAGAACGTGGTGCTGACTGCCGAATTCCATGAGAAGCCGGAGAAAGGACAAGGTGATGGAAGACCATGAATGCTGTCCACTGAACTCCAAGAGAAATGGGAGAAAAGACGGAGGAGAACGTTAAGCTGATCCACGCTCCCCAAAAAGCAAGGAAGAGGTGACCAGACATGAGGAACCCATGAGAAGAAATCGGTGGTTGCGTGAGTAGTGAGTGCTCAGAAATAGAGATCAGAATTTAAAAAAATGTAAAAAATAAAGGACAGTAATATCGGGAGAAAAAATTTGTAAATAAGTTATATATGGGATAAGGAAAAAGTATTCGGTTAAATATGTTGGTAACTTAAGTTAGAATGGAGCAGAACAATGGCAGAGTTATTGAGAATCTGTAAGCATGATAGACACAGATTTGCAACTTTTATTTATTGCTAAATGAGTAAGAAAGGTAAAGAAAAAATGACTTTTGGCCCAAGAATCACCAAGTTACCACTGAGATCGAGTAGCCATGTGCACACAGTTACCAGTTAATCCAACCCAGCGGTGGACAAAAGGGAAGCAGGAGCAAGAGTTAGAGGGCAAATTTAACCTCACACAGTCTACAGAACAGAGGAGAGGATTCAGAGATTCTCCTAATTTTATGATTTACAAGTTAAAATAAAAATCTGCCCACCAGAGCTCGGCAAAGCAGTCCAACAAAGTGAGCCTGTGTCCTACCCCCTGCCGTGCGGCGCAGCTTCAAGTGAAAGAAAAAAGACAGGTTTAAATTAAGGTAGACTCTGAGATAAACAGGTTAAAATGCTTCTTTTCCATCTCACAATTTTGCTTCTTTGTCAAAAGTCTGCTGTTTGTAGGCAAGTGAATTCGTATACAAGGTGGATTTATTTCAGTACTGTGGCTCTGTAGTAAAGTTTAAAGTCAGAGATTGTGATGTATTCATAAGTTCCTTGATTGTACAGGATTTTAAGATTGTTTAGGCTATCCTGAGTTTTTATCTTTTCTCATAAGGTTGAGGATTGTTTTTTCGAAGTTCTGTGAAGAATTTTGTTATAAGTTTAATGGGTATTTGCATTAAATCTATGGATTGCTTTCAGTAAGATTGTCAATTTTGCTGTGTTGGTGCTGTTTTTACAAAAGAATAGGAGATCTTTACATTTTCTGATGGCTTAAATTTCTTTCTTCAAAGGTTTAAAGTTCTTTTTTTTTTTTTTTTCGAGACAGGGTTTCTCTGTGGTTTTGGAGCCTGTCCTGGAACTAGCTCTTGTAGACCAGGCTGGTCTCGAACTCACAGACATCCGCCTGCCTCTGCCTCCCGAGTGCTGGGATTAAAGGCGTGCGCCACCACCGCCCGGCCAGGTTTAAAGTTCTTATACAGGTTTTTCAATTTGTGTGATTAGAGTTACTCAAAGATATTTGTGGTATTTATGGCTATCTCACTTATGATGTGTGTAGAAGAGATACATTTGAGTTGTTTTCAGATTCTGTGTATGAAAAAGTAATTCTGCTGTGAATATGGTTGAGCACGTGTCCTTGTGGTATGATTGAGCATCTTTTGTGTATAGGCCCAGAAAAGGTATAGCTGAATTTTGAAGTAGTTTGTTGCTTAATTTTCTGAAAATTCGACAGCAATGGAGGAGTTTCTCTTAAGCATAAGTTGTGAGCAGTGTTTTTAATCTTGGTCATTTTTGCAGGGATAAAATGGAGTTTCAGAGTTGTTTTGATTTGCATTTCTCTAATGGTTAAGGATGTTATATTTGAGCAGTTTTTGAATGTATTTCAGTCATTTTAGGTTCATGTGTTGAGAACTTTTATTTTAGGTCTGTAACATATATTTTTAGTGAATTAATTGTTCTTTTAATGACTAATTTCCTGAGTTCTTTGTATGTTTTTGAAGTGGATTAGTGATTAGTAAAGATATTTTCCAATTCTATAGGCTATTATGTCATGTTGATTAAGTCCTTTGCTATAAAGAAGCTTCTCAGTTCAAGAGATCTTATTGTTTCTCTCAATGTGAATGCCAATGAGGCTGTGTTAGTGTTATACCAGTGCACGCATTCAAGTGTTAATCCTAAATTTTTCTTAAATGAGGTTAGGTATTGTTGGTTTTATGTTGAAGTCTTAGAAAAGAGAGGAGAAGATGGATTTGGTTCGTCTGATGCATTTTGGGTACAGACAATAGGTCCTCAGAGACCAGAACTCACTTTGTTTATAAATGGAAAAAGATTTTCTGGCCTCCTAGATACTGGCGTGGATATTTCTGTCATAACCGCCAGTCGGTGGCCTTCTAAGTGGCCAAAAACGGAGACTATTACACAGTTACAAGAAATCGGTCAGACTAGAAATTCTGAACAGAGTAGTATTGAACTACATTGGAAAGATGAGGAAGGCCATGAAGGAACTTTTAAGCTGTATATTATTCCTCATTTACCTGTGAACTTATGGGGCAAGAGATATTATGTCCAGAATGGGAGTATATTTATATTCTCCCAGCACGGCTGTTACTAATCAGATGTTTCAACAAGGATTATTACCTAATCAAGGTCTAGGCAAGAATAATAAGGGAAAGGTGGATCCTGTCGTATCAGACAGTAGACCTTCTAGAGCAGAAATAGGGTATTTTGAGGAGAGGTCGCTAAAAGACCTGCACTCCATGCAGACCCGATAATATGGAAAAGTGCTGAGCCCGTATGGGTGAGTCAGTGGCCTCTAACACAAGAGAAACTACAAGCTGCCCAGCAGTTAGTGCAGGAACAGCTGGATAGTGGACATATTTCACCATCTAATTCTCCAATTTTTGTTATTAAAAAGAAATCGGGAAAGTGGAGATTAATTCAGGATTTAAGAGAGGTCAATGCAACCATGCAGCCAATGGGAGCATTGCAACCAGGGTTGCCGTTCCCGGCAGCCATTCCAAAAGGCACGCATAAGATTATCTTAGACTAGAAAGATGTTTTTATACAATTCCGTTAGTGCCACAAGATTGTCAAAGGTTTGCTTTTAGTATTCTTTCAGTTAATTTCAGAGAACCAATGAGGAGGTATCAGTGGAATGTTTTGCCCAAGGGCATGTTAAATGGTGCTACTTTATGCCAGAAATTTGTAGCCCAAGCTATACAGGAGGTTAGAAATCGATTTCCACAGGTTTATGCAATTCATTACGTGGACGACATCTTGCTGGCTCATAGAAAAGAGGATACTTTACTAGAGACATATGGATTGTTACAGCAGAGTCTAAGCCATGCAGGTTTGGTTATTGCTCCTGAGAAAGTACAGAGACACCCGCCTTTTCAATATCTAGGTCATATGTTATACCTCAAAGAAATTAAGCCTCAAAAGATAGAAATCAGGAAGGATGACTTAAAAACTCTTAATGACTTTCAAAAGTTGTTGGGAAATATACAACGGCTAAGACCTTATTTAAGATTTCCTACAGGAGACCTTGAGTCTTTAAATGAGATACTTAAAGGAGACAGTGATCCAAATTCTAGCAGGCAGCTTTCAGAAGCT